CTAGATAATAAAATCATAGAGTTTAGCGACTTAGGTATATATATTATAGGCATTAGTAATATTACTATCTATATTAATACTTTATTAGGCCTAGGTCTAATTTAGATCGAGAATATTACTTATATTCCTAGATTCTACTAGAACCTTATTAATATATACTCTCTCGAATAATAAGGCCTCTACTTTAATATTAGAACCTATTAGATAGAATACTTAGATAAATTAAATGCCTTTAAAGTAACTAAATATAATACTTTTTAAGTAATTAAACCTTACGTTAAGGATACTATCTTTAAGGCCGAATCTTATAAAGAAGTAATATAGTCCTTTATAATAATTACTAAATCGAGAAAGCCTTAAGTAGCTATAGCTTCTATAGATACCTAGTATATAAGGCTAAGTTATATCTGAAAAGAAGCTCTTAAATATATACCTTAAGTAATTAAAGGAGTTATACTTAGTACTTATAATTTTAAGCGAAAGTTAGAATTATATCCTAAATATTAACTTAGATAAATATATTAGTAAATCTCTTATATATTAATATAAAGAAGAACTTACCCCTTTAAGAAGATATACCTTAATTTTATCGATATAGAGGAAGTATTTAATGCTAACTCCTAGGTCGCTTATTTCTATTATAATTACTTAGCTTATTATATCTCCTTTAATCTTCTAAATAAAAATTAAGATAAACTTCTATCTATAATATAAGAGTTTTTAGCTATAATAAATAATAACTAGGGCTTTACTATGCGATATATCTAATTAGATAATAAGAAAAGTCTAAGGAAAAAATAGAAATATTTTATCGCAATAAAAGGAATTACTTTTAACCTATCTCTATTAGATATATTAAATTAAAATAGTCCTACTAAATATTCTAAGGGGATAATTATAATAATCGCTCATAAGCTATAAATATAAGGCAATCTACCTTAGAAGCTCTAGCCCTATATTATTACTTATATTACTTACCTCCTTAATTATATCCTAATTTAATAAAAATAATAATAAACTCTATATAAAATAATCTATAGCTAAAAACCTAATATCTCTTATCTTAAAATTATTAGCTCTCTTACTTATATCTTAATTAAGAATAAAAAGGCTTATTTAGCTAGAGTAAAATTATAAGAGAATGCGCTTATAAGATAACTTATCGGATTTAATACGACTAATATCTATAAAGTTTAGATCTTATACCTTAATTATATTATTATATCTCGGGATATTTAAATTAATAAGAAAATTATATATAATCTATAGCTTATTATAACTCTCCCCGAATTAAAATAGGCTCTCGCGATTATAATTAATAAAATTAATCTAGACGAAGATAATATTAAATTATTACTTATTATAAAAGATATAATAATATTAATTCCTATTCCGATATAAATAAAAGTAAAGCTACCTTTACTATAGCCTCTTCTTATGCTATAAGAATCGCCTAAATAAGTAATAGCAGGGGAAATATAAGTTAAAATACCTATAGATAAATCCCCACCGCTATAGCCTTTAAACCTAGAAGCTCTTTATTAAATATTACTATATCCTTAGATAAATATATTAAGACTAAAGGCACCTAAAAAGGAAAAGATAATAGATATTATAATACTCTAGAACCTTCGAATAATATCTAAGAGGAATATTAAATTATCTTAGAGAGGTTAAGATATAATTGAAATACTTAGATTATACTCTATTCTATATCAAGTTTAGAAGTAAGCGCGAAGATAAGTATATACCCTATATTTAGAACGCGCTAAGCTAAGATAATAAATTACCTATACTTTCGCAATAGCGCAGTTAATCTAAACTTATCGGAGGGACTTATTACTACCGCTTAATTTCTAGTATTAACTAAAGCGATATCCTAAGAAAGAAAGCTTTAAATAAGCCGCAAATACCGAGATTAAATTACTTAAAGAGAAAGGATCCTTTTAGCTAATTAATTATCTAAAAGGTAAATAAATCTTACTACTTAAATAAGTCTTTACCTATAAACTAGACGATATAAGTTATCTTATTTATTATAAAGCTCGTATCTATATTAGAGGTAATTTTTAATATTACTCTAATAAAGATATCTATATAGTAATTAATACTTATTAAAGCTTCTAGATTCTAATAGCTCTTATCTATATATTTAGGCTAATATATTATTAAATTAACTTTAAGAATACCTTTATTAATGCTAATATAAATAAAGAGGTCTATACTATATGCCTACTGGGATATAATTAATTAAGAAAGGTCTAGAGACTAATTAAAGCGCTTTATAGTCTATATAAGTTATTAAAGCTCTAATTTAATAAGCTTATATTATTCCTCAAAGATCTAAGATTTATATATTACCTAGATAAACCCTATATCCTTATTAATAATAAGACTTAACTTATTTTATTTCTTTATATAAATAATCTTCTTATTATTATATAACCTAAATACCTTTAATAAGTTAACGAATTTAAATCAATAATATATAGTAAATATAGGATTAAGGATTTAGGCGAAGTAATCTTCTTCCTTAATATTAGAATCCTTTAAGATATTAAAGCTAAGAAGCTCTAAATCTACTAAGATAGATATATTAATAAACTCTATATTAAGTTTAGGATTAATTAGTTAATAAGAATAATAACTCCTCTCGCTTTATTATATTATCCCTAACCTTTCGAAAGATAAGCTACTATATAATAGATTATAGAGATATAAGAAAAAATAGGATTAATTCTATACATAGTAATAATATTAAGACTAGATATCTCCTATATAGCTAGCTAATTAAGCTAGCACGCTATAAACCCTTTATTTAAATACCTATAATATATAAACTAAGTTCTTTTATATCTCTAGACTATATAATACTATGCCATCGAGTTCTTAGGCTCTATAGATAAAGCTATAGAGATAGAGATAGGTAATAATAAAGTATTATAATAATTAAGCGATATATTATTTATAGATAATCTAGAGACTTAAAAATCTACCTAGGGCTACCTTATAAAGTTATTTAGCGGAGCTATTATATAGTAGTCTTCGAAGTAGAAGATTATAACTATATTAATAACTAAAGTAGAGCTCTTATCGCTATCTGATATAGCGAGGGAAATAATAGCTCTATACCGACTATTCGAATAGATATAGTTCGATCCGGAATACTAACTATATATCCTCTATAATAATTAATAAATAATAGGACTAATCTAGAAAGAGAGGCTATAACTAATATCGAAGTTAAGATATATCGATATCTATAACTTCTAGCTAAGATAGGTCTATCGAGATAGTAAAATTATAATATAATAGGTTTTAATAATAGATATACCCGCAAATAGCTTTATAAAACCTCTTTTAATAGAAAAGTATTCTTACTTTATTAAGTAACTAGGTCTAATTAATATCTCATCGCGGATTAATCTAGAATATACTTTAAGAGAAGATATTAATAAAGATAATATTTAGACTTTATCTAATATAGAGTAAAATCTAGGGGGGTATATCGCAGGGTAGGCATAATCTTTATGGCCTTATAAAATAACTATGTTAATAATCTAGCTATATGCTTTAAGTAGCTCTATGGGAGGGAATACCCCGCACAAAAAAAAAATAACCTCAGAAAATAATCAATTAACACACTACTGCTGCCTATTATCGTTTACCTGACCCTTAATCCTTTTAGCACGCTCAGTGCGACATACACTCCTAGTTGCAGGCGGGGGTTAGCCGCCCTGCATACCGGAAAATTGTCGGCTTTACTTTGTTGTGGACTCCAGGGCTCCTCGTGTCCGGATCTGATTCCTAGCCCCGTCGCTTATTCTTACTATAATAGGGGACATCGTCTTTGTTACGCTGGCGGACTTTATACCTGTTGGATAAGGGCATGTGTACAGGATTAGCCAAGGCCGGCAAAAGCCCGTCGGATCTTCGGGGAAGCTCTAGATCTTGAGTTACTCTATTAAGAAAGGCAGCCCCTAAGGGAATTAAGAAAAGACAGAGTATAAATAAGCTTCGACTGCCGGAGATCAGCTGGCACCCGATCTCACGTGACCACCCTCAGAGCTATTATACAGAATTCCATTCAACAAGTAAACATATTCTTCCCAGCACTTAGCGATGGAATCAAAGGGAGGGTGTGCACTATAGTAGAGGTCCAGACAAATATAGAGGACTTGGGTGTCTTTGCTGAAAGGATCTAAAGCCCAGTATGGGGCCAAAGAGAGTGAGGGCACAACTGGCTGCTGGTAGATAGCGCCTGAGAGAGAGTGAATCTTGTTGAACCCCTGACAAGGGATGAGTAAAAGAGGCAGAAGCGGCAGCAAAGGCTGCACGATTATTTCTTAGGCGGGGGCTTGGGGGGGTCAGCCCTGCAAAAGGTAATTAGCATAGACCAGTAAATATTCAAGATCAAGGTTCATACCCATTATAGGCAAGTTTCACCATGAGGTCTCCCTTACTGTTGAAGATGGGATCCTTCATTAGGAAACTTCCTTTTGCTGGGAGGAACAACCGGTGCTGGTTGGCGAGAGCATTCATCAGTCTGTCTTCCACGTTTGTGATGGCGTTCTGGATGTTTGTCCCCATCTCATCCGTGAACTCTCTCGCCACCTCGTCTGCTGGAGGGTTCCAGGATAGGTCACCATCCGTCTTCTCGTCGACCCCAACGCTGTTGCTGGTGACTTTGAAGACAAGACCGCCTTCCTCGACAGATGCCATCCCAACGCCAAGACTCCACGAGAGCGTGAACGCCATCAAAGAGCTGAGAGCAGTCTTGTCAGTTTGGGCCATCGTGGGTGTTGCAAAAGATCGGAGAGACATGAGTGAAATAGCTTCAAAAGCTTGGACTTACTATTTGTTACGGCTACCAGTGTCGTGGTCAACCCGAAAAACGAATCTGGACTTTCCATTCAGCGTGAGGCTTGCGCTTCCAGCGTCAAACGAGAGGGTACCGCCACAAGGGTCGGTTCCAAATACTGTATTCAGTCAGCCTTTGCTTAGATACACTTCACGATAGGACTTGCGATCTCGCCGTGGAACTTGCCTTGGTCGAAAGTATCCGGGGTGTTTGACCACTGCTGGATTGTTTCTGAATCATTGCCGCGGTTGGGGTTCTGGCACCTTTTACTTGAGTACTGTGGTCGACCGTCCCATGACCACCTTCCAGGTCCAGAAGGGGTGAAGTTGTAGTAGCTGCTGGACGCATTCCAATCGCCGAAATGGTAACCCATGCCTCCCATGTAAGGGTGGTCCGGGTCCGTATTATCCCAGTAAAGAGTAGGCTCGTCAGGGACAGGGATCATACCAACGACCACATCCCTGAGAACGGAGAACATCCACGGCCAGAAGAGAGAGCGATTCATGACAAAGGTGGCGTCATGGGAGCTATCGATAAATTGCCCGGTGTACGAGAGTGTTTTGCTCGAGGGTGACTCGAAATTGGACATCATCAGGTAGCACAAAGCATTCGTGTCCTGGTTGTTCTGATCCTGATCGTACGAGTTGGATCTCCAGGGGTAGCAATCATAGTCGATACGAGTGGGAGGGAAAGTCGGCTCGTACTTGTTCACTGCCGCCATGTCAGTCCCTTTGTAGTCCAAAGTCAGTGCATTTGGGAGGTTCAACTTACAATCACTATCGGTGTCTCGCAACGCAGAATAGCCCAAGATGTTGCATTTTTTCTCGTTCATTAGGTTCAACCACTTCTGAATGAATGTGTCAAAAGTGGCGTGGGCATCGGGGCTCAGATTCTTAAAGTCCTGCTCTCTGTCGCCGAAGCTGCTCAGATTCTCATCCCACTTCGTGGTGGCTGCCAGGTGTGAGAACTTGTTGACCCTCAAAATCCTTAATGGGAACTCACATGAAGCATCGATAAAAAGCTGGGCAAGAGAGAAGTTGGATTCCGGTAGCCCAGCTCTCTCTTTGAACTGTTGGTACTCGGGGCCATCTTTCGTGATTTCCTTCTTCGCTGGTTGATGGTCAATGATCGTTCAATTTCAACATTGACTCGACTTACAAATCGTGACCGAAAAGGCAAAAACCCAGTCATTGACAGACCATTCAATATGGCTATCATCATCTGGATCATTGGTCAGATAAAGCCACAGCTTGCCGCTTGTCATGCGAAGCATGAAGTATAGCATCGGGTCCTTGGTGGTGACCTGCAGCTGGACCGAAGGAACTCCGATGTCTGTTTCAAGATAGTCTCCAGATCGGAATCTCTCCTTGAAATGCTTCAACGGAGAGTCCTCATCATCCAACTGGGCAAGCTCCCACATATTCTTGAAGGAGTCATTGATTGTCTTCTGGGAGATGACGAGGATTTGATGGAAGGGATTGGGATCAGTTGAGTAGACGTAGCTGCTCATGATAGCGGTAGATTCAAAGAAGATGGAACGGGATGGTGGAGTGTTTCTGATCGGGAGTGAGCTGGATACTGAACTGCAATTGTCTTTGGGATATGGGCGATTCGAGAGTAGCGACAACAGCACTCTTTATCTCTTTATGTATACAAACCAAGAGCGAGCTCGGAAGCACCTTGCTTTCGCAAGGTCCGAGCAACAACTACCAGATCAGACAGGCAGGTCAGAGAGAAGAGGACTCTGGGCCCACGGGGTCACTGCTTTCACATGTTTGGGCTTCTTGCAAACCTGCTGCCCCTACTTCAGCTTTCCTCCAGCCTAATAATCATGGCGATCCCTTTCCCATCGAGAGATGGTGGCTTGGCGTCAGCAATAGTCAACAATCTCAGCTGGCAGGTGGGCTTACTATGCATGACCGGTGGCAGGGGTTCTCGGAATTCCCGCGCGGGCCGACGCGCAGCCCAGGTGCAGCATGCATTATCCAGATTCGGCCAGTCTGCTGAAAGTGGCGAGCTGGGGCTCACCGGCACTTAATATCTCGGTGGGGCTGTAAACTGTTTCTGCTCCTATTTGTCTAATTATTGGCTCCTCTGCCTCCGGAGAGTGGAGAGCTGAACACCTCTACGACTGTGATATGATCCATCTTGCAACATCATACGATGCGGACTTGTAGGTTTCACGGGCCTATTGGCCATCTTCTTACTGCAAGTGGCTTGCTGAGCCTCTCGACGGTCACCGGTCATATCACAGCTGGAATTACGGGATTGGGTCATGTGTCGTTGCAAGTGCTAGGCCTGCAATTCAGCTGTCCCCCAAGCATTCGCTAGTGTCACATAAACGTTGCTCTTAACTATTTTGAAGCTTTCTTGCATGCTTAGCTCAATATATGCTCGATGAAAACTGTCTCGGAGCGTTGCGCTGCCAGAATAGAGGCCGATATGTGGTCTAGAAGATCACTGATCGTTTCCCACATGAGGTATTAAGGTGTCTAAGGAGGGCCTCGATGGAAAGGCGGGCATGTGATATTTATTCGTGGCAGACGTCATCTTTGGCGACAGAGGATCGAAAAAAAGTACTGCCGAGGGTTTGTATCGTCTATATTAAGAGTCTTCTGTATCTACCAACCCAGCGTTGTCTAACCATTCACTCTCGCATACTCCTACCACTTTTCTCTCTTTAGCCCACTTCAGCCTCTTCTACTCAGTATGGTTGCCATCAAGCAGGACTCAGAGCTGATGACAAACTATGTCTCAGCCAACCCTATCCCAGCTGGCGAGCGCTTCGCAGTCTTCAGGGATGCTGATGGTGAACCGGGTGTCTTTGCTCTCAGCGAAGATTTGTACCTTTACCTTGTGATGGTGATTGATGGCAAAGCCGACAAGGTCGACTTCGGAAACACCTCCGGGATTGTGCCCGAGGGTGTCAAAGTGCAGGCCTTTGCCGTTGTCCAAGCACCAGACTCAACTCTGGACATTTGCATCGCTACTCCTGGCACGGGAGAGACTTCAACATTTACTCTGCTGCACAACATCACCTTGGCTGAGCTCAAGGGCTCAATTCCGAGCTCCAAGGTTATGCGTGGTAGCAACTTTCCATCCGTTCACCACATCTTCATGGTAAGCTATTCATGGCTATATTTTATCAATTATTTATTGAGAATCATCGCTAATCTGCCAAGACCAACAAATCAACCGATACCAAGCGCACCATGCCTTTGGCCATGGTAGCGTTCAAAAGACCGGATAGGATCGTCGACACTGAAGATCTCCGCTTCGTGCAGTTTGGCACATCAGCCACTCTTTTGGGAAAGTGGGATCTAGCTACGAATCCAAAGAAGATTCTGGATGTATCCTTGGGGACCTGTGCCTTGGGTGACGGCGCATTTGTCTTATACCAGGGATTCACTGGCGCCTCTCATATCCAGTTTAAGTTCTTTACTGGGAGCACCATGGTCGTGGAACCTCATTGTCCGGCAGGTATGTCTCAGTCTTGCCAATATTTGAGTCCATGAAGGCCCAACTGACGGTTTCACTCCTATAGGTGCGACTTGCATCAGTTCATATGTTGATCCCAACTCGCATCAGAGCATCCTCCTCGTCGGTGGTCAGAACGTTACCGCCTTCAAAGCCAAGGAGTATTGTTCTCCTAAAGGGACAGGCACTCCAATCGAGACGGGTGATCTCGTCGGTAGTATCAAAGATCTCCAGGTTTCGCAGTCTGGAGAAACACTCAGGTTCTGGTACACGACCGAGGCGGATGCAGTTCACTACTATACAACTAAAAGCACCTCACTTTCGAATGGAAAGGTGACCCCTATCCTTCCAGAGGGACAAGGCGGCCGGATATCGAGTATGATCTCGCTCAACTCGGCAGATAAACACGCCGGCAGTCCAGCACTTGTCAGCAGCTTGTTATCTGTGGACGAGAACGGCAACCTTACCCTTCTACAACAGGATTCTGCATCACAGCTATGGCAGAAGTATCCATTCTGGCATGCGTCCACTGAGAACGTCATTGAGCTCAGGGGATACATGCTTCGCATGCACGCAGTGGCCAACAACGACAACGAATCGTCCCTTATTCCCGGATGCTGGTTGCGCGTCAGCAGCTCTGGAGTTGTGCGGTGCATCGTCAACGGGAGACATGCTTCTCTCTCGCCCGTTCCTCAGTGGCACCAGACTGACGCCAAGGGTGTTCTAAACATCATGCTGCAAAACGACGACGCAACATGTCACCAGTTTGCAGCCGATTTATTCCGCGCTGCCAAACCAGGATCTCCCGAGACCAGCTTGAAAAATCCCATCTTGGATCCATCCAGGAAGATGATCAAGAAACTAGATGGCGTAAAGACGGCTGATGATGTTGCCCAACTTCGCAAGCCGGATGGTACTCGGCTGGTACCCAACGCCTCACATGACGACTTGAAGGCTGCCGCCGATTCAATCTCAACGCTAGTAGATCAGGCACACAAGTTTCACGAGGGCACCCAGCAACAGTTCTCGTCATTCAGGGTGGAGAAGTTGTCATCGGGTGTCGGAGGAGCTGTCCCATATAATGCTCAGTTTTTCTCTTTGGGTGACCTTGTCGATGATCTCGAAGGCGCTTGGAACTGGGTTGAGGAAAAGCTCAAGGATGCAGTAAAATGGGGTTGTGACTTTATCGGTAAGCTTCAACACCCCAGTCCCCCTGTTTTGGATATTAGGGTTGCTAACAGTCGTGTGCAATTCCAGAGGATGTGGGTGGTCGCGTCTGGGCCTTCATCATCAAGATTGGAGACGAAGTCTTCAAGTTCGCCCTCAAAACCGTATCATCGATTGTCAAAGCTATTACTTGGGTCTTCAAGAAGCTCGGCGCTTTGCTCCAGGATATCATTGACTTCTTTGGCTACTTGTTCGGATGGAACGACATTCTCGATACAGCCGACAGCATCTCTGCCGGTTTCAATGTTGCCCTAGATTATGGACAAGAGCTGCTCGACAAGTCTGAGCTGAAGATTGACTCGTGGCTCGAGGACCTCCGACAAATCATCAAAGCCCAATTACCGGGCCTGCAGAACAACACCTATGATGGCTCCCAGGAAGCGTTGAAGGATTTAAAGCCAGCGACTACTAGCCAATCTACAGATGATGTCTCTGACGAAGACGAGGTGAAATCCGGTGTTGCATACAACTGGTCAACATACTATTTTACATATGGCGGGGGCACTACCAATGCCTACTTACATGACGACGACAGCCAGACGCCAGACTCCCCTGAAAAACTGATTCTGAAGCTTTGGGATGATGTTCAGAGCGAAGTCGAAACAATCGTCAAGCTGGGTGGCAACTTGGCCAAAGACTTGCTTGACTTTTTCATCTCTGGAAAATACAACATCCAGAGCTTGGTGGGAAAGATCTCGGCGGATCTTGTCGACAGCATGATAGACTCTCTCAAGATTCTGGGGGATATCCTCTTCAAGGCCCTCTCGTTGGGGATCAGCATCACCAGGAACGTCGCCAACAGGACCATCGACATCCCGGTGCTCGGCTGGCTGTGGAAGCACGTTATTGCTGGAGGCCGGTCACTGTCACTCCTTGGTCTTTGCTCTCTAGTACTCGCCATTCCTACCACGGTCCTATACAAGGCTACGAAGAAGGTCGCCCCACCAACGCTCAAGGGACGCCTGACCAAGGACTCCTTCCATGAGTATGTCTCAGGAACGGCCGGGGATGATCTTACCAAGGACGTTTTCAACTTTGGCCTGGCAAGTGCTTCAAGCTTGGAGCTGGTCTACGGCGAGTTTGAGACCATCGCTCTGTTGGCCGATGGAGCCTTTGAAGGAACCGGCCTGGAGGCTATTCCCATTGGTCCCGTAGCAGCCCTTATGAACGTTGTTAGCTCGGCGTCGCTCACATTCGAGACGGTTGGAGGATTTCTCAGCTGGCCCGTCGAAGGCCCCTACGGAGCCGCGATGATCCAGGCAAATTCGTTTGACATGGGAAAGTTTGCAAAGTATTCGGTAAGTATAGCCCGAGTGTATCACGAAGACAGGTCTAACGGACTGCAGAAATGGGGCCTCACTGTCACCAACTTCGCTGCCAACGCGGTGGTGAAAGTTGTCGGCAAGGCAAAGAAGTCCGAGCAACCTGCAATTAAACGGTGGAAGGGCAGCGTCGCGGCTGTCATCTCTGTGCCAATGCTTTGCGTGGCGTTGACCGGAGATATCAACGATTCGATCGAGGCGAAAAAGAAGACGGCTGTTATCGTCAATCATTTCATCGAGGCCTTCCTTAAGTTTGGCAAGCAGTGGGGTTTTGCGGTATCATCTTGGAACAATGAGGTTGAGAACGAAATCATGTATATTGCACTTGCGGTAAAGCAAGTCTGTACGTATGGCAGATATGGGTTCCAGATTGCGGACTTTATCGTGGAGCATGTCTAGGGTGGCATATTGAGTCGGGGGAAAAGCGTGCTAAGCCATTTTGGGCTGCTAAGTAATTTCTTATATGTAGAAAAGGAGGCAGAGGCTATAGAGCCTTACTTCTATTATTACTTCGCGAGCCTTAACTAGAGGACTTTTAGGTTCCTTTAAGGGTTATATATTTATTATTATTAATTAATTAATTACTCTTATTATCCTATGTTATATTTGCCTTATAAGAAAGAATATAAGATCTCTTTTTTAAAAAAACCTTAAAGAAACTATATAGTAATTCCTCCCTATTATATTATATTAACTTAATATATTAAGTAATATTAATAGGTTTAAATACCCTTACTAGCCTCTTCTTTATAATATTTAATTTACTATCTTATAATTATTTTCTTACTTATATATAAAATAAATAAGATATAACCTCTTTTTAACCTTAATTAAGCTTAATATACTTATATAAATAACCTCTTACTAACTTGAATTAAGCTTAGCTTTCTTATATAAAATAATCTCTTATAAATACGTATTAATTATAAGGGAATAATAATATAAATAATTATTTATCCCTTATAGAGCCTCTTAAAAGTTATAAGTCTTAAGATAAGATATAGATTTCTAAAAGAAATAATAATAAAATAAGAATTTAATAGAGATTTTATTAATAAATTCTAAGGTTTTTATAAGGGAATTCCCTAGGATTTCTTTTAGATTTCCCCTAAGAGTCTTTTAAGAAATTCCCTAGGAATTCCCTAAGAATTCCTTAGAAAGTCCTCTAAAAAAAATAAATCTAATCTAATAAGGAATTCCTTATAATTTCCTAGGGATTTCTTAATTATATAATTCCTAGGGATTTCCCTAATAAGTCCCCTTAATTAAAATAAGTATTATCCCTAGTATTTATTTATTATATATTTATATTCTTATGTAATAATTATAAATTATTATAATACTAAGAAAATATAAATAAAAATAAAAATAAATAAAAGAAATTATTATTTTATCTTAATAATTATATCTTATAAATATATTTTTTTCTTAATTTTTATATTTTTATTATTATTATTATTATATATATATAATTTATCTTTCCTTATATATTATTACTCCTATAAGTATAATATTATTTTATTTTTATTTATTTCTTAAGTATTATTACCTCTAATATCTCTTATATTATAATTTAACTATAGTCTTATTATATTAGTAGTCCATATAGGGTTAGGGTTAGCCTATCCTAATTACATAGCGGATTTATATATAAATCTAATAGGTTTCTTATATAAAAAAAAAAGGCGCTAATAAATAGGCATAGTAAATCTATTATACCCTAATAGATTTATTAAACCTATAGCTTTTATTAAGTAAAATAGATTTTAATTATATATATTAACTTATTAAATAGAGGATAAATTAGGGATTAATTTTTAATTATAAAGAACTATAGTTATAGTAATATAACTTAATTAAAGGTTAATTTAATTAATTAATTATTATTAAAAAATAGCTAAGTTAAGGAGGAATATTAATTATTTATTATAGGTATATATATATATTAATTAAGTTTAGGGTTTATATTATAATAATAGAAAAAGTAAATAAAAAAAGGTATTAAGTTAAATAAATAATAAAAAGATAAATATAGATTTATATTATTATTATAGCTAAGATAGATTTATTTATAAAATTACTTAAATTTCTATTTATTATTTATTAATTATATTATTTTATATATATTATTAATAAAATTAAGCTATATTTTAAGAAATATTATAAAGGTATTAAAGAAATAAAGTATATAGAAATTACTAAGAGGGTCTAAGATATCCCTAGTATAATTAAATACTAAAGAGGGTTATTAATATAGCTAAAGCTATTACTTATAATTAACCTAATCTTATTTATTTAATCGCTAGCCTATAATAAGTTAGGTTATAAATATAATAGTATGGTTAGATCTAAGGGATAAACTGGTCATATTAGGTTTATATTAGTAGGGGATTATTAATATTATCTTAAATAAGGTATAAGTTATATCTAATAATATACCTAATAATATTAAGTATAACTAAGTTATATTAATAACTAAGGTAGCTATTATATAAGAAAGTATAATAAATATATTTTATATATTTTAGCTCCCTTAAGGGAAGCTAATTATAAGTAGGCGCGATATTATTATAAGATTAATATAATCTAAGAATAATATTAATCCTTAGTATATTAATCTTATTATAATTAGTAATTTAGGACTTAGGATTTATAGGGACTATATAATATAGCCACGAGGGTTATAATATAGTATCTCCTCTCTATTAGGTCTTATCCTTAAGACCTATATGCCCTTATTTTCTTAATCTTATTCCTAGTATATCTTAACTTAGACTTTTTATTATTATGCCGCATAATATTTAATTATATTTCTAAATAGTCTTCCTATAAGGATAAAGAAATTAATATATTTACCCTCTCCGTCGAGTTTATTAATAAAGAGGCTAATATACCTTATACTTATTACTTCTATTTAGGCAAAAAGTGCCTAATATCTATAGATTTTACTCGCTATAGCGAGTATATCTATAATAAAAAGTCTTATAATAATACTTATATAGTATTATCTTATAAGTTTAACCTTCTATATTCTTTTTTACTATAATCCTTAATTTTAATATTATCTTATAATTAT